TTTTCAATGTCAAATACAATTAAGTGGTTTTAAAGAACACACATGAAATGGAGAAAACTACAGTTTAAATGAACAAGAATAACACCTACTTTTGTTTTCTTGATTTTGCACCATTAATTTGTGATCACTTGGAGGGCTTTTTTTTTTTTTATCATTACCATCTTTTCTCTTTTGCCTTTGATGATAAATTCTTCTAATCAAGAAACCTGACACCCTCTAGTCTTCTCTGAGATGTTCAGCGGGTTTTTTTCCCCACACTTAAATGCTCATTTTGACTGTACAAGATTGGATGGAAAATACTTCAGGAAAGTAAGATGATATTTTAACATTTCTCTCTCTCTCTCTAGCTTTTACTTATTGGTTTAAAATGTTCGATTTCTTGCTCTTTCCTGAAAATTGCACTCAACACGGTGCCTAGGCTTCTTTCAGTCTTCCTTTATACTTAGAACATCATGCACCAAAGTGGCCGATTGTGATTTAGTAAGGACAATGCTGAGCAGAAATAGCTACTGTGCATATCACACTCTGCATTCAAGTTGGATGCTTGGAGTGTTAACAGAGTAATGGGGGTAGGGAAGGAATTCCACTTTGATATACCTGGCACAGAGGAGGCACTTAGCAAATATTGTGGAAGAAATGAATGGAAAAGGAAAATGTTTTAATGCCCCTGGTTCTAATGCATTTTTTTAAAATCCCATAATTGGATTACATCAGGAACAATGCAAACTTCATTCTGTCTCCAAGCCAACATACCCTCACATGAAAAGGTAGTTCTGTTTCCATTTATTTATAATCCCTGGTCTCTCTCCTGAGATTTTTTTTTTTTTAAGATTTATTTATTTGACAGAGAGAGCGAGATAGGGAACACAAGCAGGGGGAGTGGGAGAGGGAGAAGTAGGCTTCCCGCTGAGCAGGGAGCCCGATGTGGGGCTCGATCCCAGGACCCCGAGATCATGACCTGAGCCGAAAGCAGACACTTAACGACTGAGCCACCCGGGCACCCCTCTCCGGAGATTTTTGATGAGCCTCTAGATCAGTGATCCTTCACCTGACTGCACATAAGAATCACCTGGGAGCTTTAAAAAAAATACTGAAGCTCAGACCTCACTCCTGGAACAACCAACTCAGAATGCAGGGTGGAATGCTGGGGATTGGCATTTTTAAGGACTCCTAGGTAGTTCTGGTGGGTAGTCTAAGATGGGAATCGCTGTGCTATATATTACCTGTACTGGAGATACTTTTAGAACCATGGACTTGTATCCCTCCAGCCTAGCTTGAGATAAAGGAATTTACACTAACCAAAATAGCCTGAGAAGATTTCCTGAGAACCATTTTTGAGGAAGATGCTTGCTTGTCCAAGCAAGTTATTTCAAGATTAGGATGGACATATTTTCTCTTACATAAATACAGGCCAGTGTTACCCCTAATTTGTATTATTTTGTTGTTGAATTAAAATCTATACACCAAAAGTGCACAAATAGTAAGTGTGCAGTTTGATGTACAAAGTGAACACATCTCTGTAATCAGCACCCATAATAAGAAACAGAACAATACCAGCATCCCAAGAAGCCTCCCCTTGTTCCCCTGCTAGCTACTCCCTATCAACAGATTTGTCTTAAAAAAAAAAAAAACCCAATAACTTTATGTGCATAGAATTACATAGTTTTCACTCTTTTTTTCTTTGGTTTCTTTTGCTCAACATTATGTTTGTGAGATTCACCTATGTTGTTGCATGTAAAAAGAGTTTTATTCTCATTGCCATGAAGTATTCCACTGAATGAACAGATCACAATCTACTTATCCATTCTATGGATGATGGATATTTAGGTGGTTTCCAGTTTTCTGGTTATTAGGAATGGTGCTGCTGTGAATATTCTTGTACATGCCTTTGAAGCACGTAAGTGTACATTTCTGTTGATTATAATACCCAGCAATGGAAATGCTGGGTCACAGGGCATGCACATGTTCAGCTTTAGTAGCAATTGCCAAACTGTTTCCAAAGTGGGCTCAGTACTGATTTTCAACTGACTTTCTTTTGAACTGGTTTGACAACACATGGTCTTTTATTTTAGCTTTCTAAGACTGTTGTGTGGCAATGTAACCAGTCTTCTCTCTCTCCCCCTCATTTGTAGGGATAAGAGTAGAAGTTAGCTAAAACTACCTCTTCATCAACTTGAAAATAAACGTAACTTGCTCCTGAATTGAATTCCTTGAGGTATGAAGAGTTTGGCTCATGACCCTAGAGATTATCCACAGCAAAATCTTAACCTCAAGATACCTTCCTCATACAACCTAGAACATGCAAGGCCTGCCTTCTCACATTAACTAGTATATACTCACAGAAGTCAAATCCATTTGGTTTAAGCCTCAACAATATCAATCAGGAAGGAAAATGGGCTGTCCCAATTCCCAAAATATAGCCCCAAAGTATTTTTGATGACTAACTATCATTCTTCTTCTACCATGAGCACAAATAAACCAGCACTGACTAGAACTTTAA